TATTGTAGTATTTAAAGTTACTGCTCAGGAGCAGGTGAAAAATACCATTTCCAGACTCTAAACACCTACCTTTGAGTTACGTAGACACAACTCGTTAGGTTGAGAATTATATTCGTTCCCACTTTCCTGGGAAAGAGCAAGCAGCAAAAAGTGGCTTTCCCCTCATCCTTTGTTCATCTAGGAGAGCTCCTGACTCATCAGCTAGTTCTCTTCCTTCCTCAGCACAAACTCTGCAAGAGTTTAAGTCTCCATCTTCCCAACATCTTTCTTTTCAAGATGCTCCAGCATCCTGCAGCTATGCCATACAGTCCTTAACTCTGAAAGACCTTCTGTTGGACTATAGCTAAGCTGCCTACATGGAGGACCAGTTTTTATCCATGAAAAACAGAATTGTAGAAGTGCAATGTCAAACAGAAGGGAACTGGGTAAGTCCTCATGGCCTTCCCAGTACCTCACTGCCACCACCACGCCATTAACAGAAGATGGAAGTAAGAGGAGGGAAAGGATTTGTGCCAGTTCCCAGAAGACAGCAGGCAGGATGCCGGGTGCTGCCGCAGCCTGCTGCCTGGAACAGCTGCCACACAAGCCGACCACAAGCCCTGCAACGTGCCCGCTCCCCGAGGACAGGCGATACAGACCAGCCCTTAAACTCTTCAAGATCTGCATTCATTTCATGGAGGTTTGGCAGAAACAGAAATGAATTTCATTTTGATACTAACATTTCTGAAAGCCAAACAAAGATATATGCTCCTCACTGTTCCCTGCTAAAAGACAGACAAAATTGATTTTTAAACATTCGGCAGAATCTCCTTGCAAAGCTTCCTATATATAATCGTGTCACTTCCAAGAGTGAAAAAAACTTCTTTTTAAAAAAATGCAGAATGTTAAATGAGCCCATAGCAAGACAAACTTTACACTAAGCAATTCACACTTCAGAAAATGACAGTTTAAAAAAAAAAAATTAAAAGTTTTACAAACAGCTATAAAAAGTTAATTTTTGTGAACAAGAAACATTGTTTAGAATTTTAAAGTAATTCACCAAACAAAGAATCCATTAATATTTAAGAATTTAATCAACTTTCAAGAGCAAGAAGGGACTTTTGGAAGCTGGATTGATCTTGAAAGAGAAAAGCCACTTTTCCGCCTTCCATTTTAAGTATACCTTTCTTGTTTTAAACAGGGACTTCAAGAGGGGAAAGTGTTTAGAACCCAAGACTTCTCTGAAAGAACTGATGACTCCAACGCAGTTTGCTCAACTTTCTCTTTTAACTTCTACTAGCCCTAATGACAGTAGCTTGCACATTCAAATTAAAATAGTCTTCCCTCGATAAATCTCAGCTACATTTTGTATTTTGCCTTTGCTACATTTTTTTTAGAGTGTGCTCACCAGGTTAATTTCAAGGTATCAATCATGTCAGATTTTACAGGAAGTAACTTTTGTCAGGTCCCTTGAAAATTTAAGATGATAAAAACAAGTTCAGAATTTCAAAGTGACATTAACCTCCAAGCAAACATTTTGCTATTAAAAACCTCTTACTTTGCATATTCTGTTATTAAAAACAATGCCACTGCATGATCAAAAATGCCAGAAAGGACAAGAACTAGTGAAACTAACAATTAGAAAGCTCCTTCTGCAAGAAAATAATGTCATATACATTACTATCAAATTGAATAAATATTAGAATTATTACATATTTTGGAAGGAGACAGCAGTGGTACCTTAGAAAAAAAAATCTGTAGTTTGTCAGCAGTGTACAAGGTTTATTTTTGGCTCAAGAGCCCATGATGTAGAATTAAGTGTTCCACTAGATGGAGCAGGACAGTAAAATCGTCATGAAGGCCACCCCCTTTGCTGACCCATGAAAAAGTCAATGTCCAGCAATCAGGGACGATAAGAATTTTAACTTTCTTCTGTGCATTCAGGGCAGAACAAAATTTGTTCCTCTTCCAAAAAAGGGCAACACAAAACCCCCTTAGTGCTTAACAATATTTACTTCTTCCAGTCATAGAAGTTGACTATTAACAAACACTAACCAGAAACAAACAGATAACCAAACTATCAGAAACAAAAGTAGTTTTTCCCCATTTCTTTCAGCTTTACACTAGGAAAGACAAAATTTACTGGATAGTTGACAGAAAATGAAAATCTTGTAGTATTTTTTATTTTGTAGCAACTGAACTTGCAAAAAGTTCCATGCCAAACGATCAAACATTAGTCACCTAATGCAAAAGACATTGCTACACATCAAACAAATTCACACTAGAAACAATGGCAAAACTTCAAAGAGGCTCCTAAAGACCTGGAGCTGTGCAAGTCATACTAAAATTATCTCCCTGGTCTCTTTTCAAACAGAGCTAATTGTTGATTTACCTTTAAGTCTACCTAAACAAAAAGAACCTACCCTAAAAAAAGAACCTTACAAATTTTATTTCATCATATGTTCTTTAAGAGATGCAGTAGTAGACAAACTGCAGTTCTCCATTATCATGTGAAATGAGAAACCTGCATTTCCTTGACCCTTCTCCAAAAGAAGTAGAGAGAGTATAAACTAACAAAGAACAGTTTTAGCCATTAATATTCCAAATTTAAGGCCTGCAATTCTTGAGTATACACAACAAAAATTACCAGGAATGGTCACAATTGTCACAAACATCTTGCCATAAAAAAATTCTGAACCATGCTATATTGCTATATGTGATAAATAACCGTAAACATGCAGCAGTCTCTCATGACAATACTAATTATCACAGTGGTATAAATAGCAGAAGAGACTGAATGACTCAGATACGTGCACGAAGGCACACAAGCAGAAGTCTTGGTGACTGATCACAGGCTGCTGCCCATGATTGTTGCTATCACCTCTTTGTTTTCAGATAAATAAACTGCACTAAAAACAAAAGCTACAAACATGGGCATGTTTCACACCAACGTACTTTCCAACTTACTAAAACTTGCTGCAGTATCTGAAGCTGTCATTTGGAAAGGAACTGGTCTAAGTGGAAGAAGCAGGAAATTTGGTCTTCAAGACAATACAATTGTCCACTGCATTAAGGTGTCAGCCTGTATTAAGACCATTTGAAAGCATCTGCAAGGTTTTCAATATAGATATTATTGTCTAACTGAATGCCAGTTTTTCCTACCTCTCTGAACAGCTGATTACCAAGAATTCACTATGTAGCATACACTCCTTTTCCAAGGTAAGGAAAAGTAAGCATCAGTACCATCCAAATCACTGTCATTAACATTAAATTAAAAAATTTGTACATCGCAGTCAATATACAGCAGAATAGAAACAATACTTACTACTGTGCACAATCAATCAGTTGATACTCATTAGATCTCTCATAGCAGGCTTTCACACCTTCGTCTTGCCAAAGTGTTTTTGTATGTTCATAAAACTCCTGAAAGAGTAAAAATAGTATTAGCAAAATGGATTATATATGAAGAGAATCGACAAATGGTAACATATCGTTACACCGCTGTAATGAACAGTAAATGGTAGCATATTTAACAAAAAACTTTAAACATTTTCAAAACCTGACTACAAGTTCAGTTGGCTTTCTTAGTTGTTTTGACTTTAACGTTTTGTAACACTTGAAGAACTGCTTCTCAATCATTTTGATTGAGTCCAACTATATATTGAAAGAAGGGTTAACTTTTCATTAATGATAATTCTGTTGGCATTTTCAATAATCAGTACTATTTGATAACATTTGTTCTTTAACTCACAATTCCACTGCATGTTATATTTATTTGGCTGTCAAGATTTTTATTTTTCTTCAATGAAACACCATTTCTCAGTAATTCTTACATAAAGATAGCAAATTATGATTAGGTTTTACTTGACTTTCCAAGTTAGTGAGGATCTTCAGGGACTATATAGACATCTGTACCTTACTTAACTCTGTATCACTTGACTCAAAGTATTTGCAGAATTTATTCTTTTACTGTGTAAAAGGATATTGGACTCCAGAAGAAATACAGTGATACAAAGCTAGATCGTGTTTTGATTGTGTCAACCTTAAAAATTATAAGCCAAGATATGAAAACAGACAGCCAAAAATGCGATGCTTCAGTTTCGTTGAACCTGTAACACAAGTATAAAACACAACCAGAAGCCTGTTCTTTTTTGAATATAAAAGATGCACTTTGGCTTCATAGGGATGTGTGCAATATGTAATTGTATTTCTGGCTATCAGTCTAAGATCTTTGAATAGACTTAGAAAGAACAGCAGCAGCCTAGTGACTTAAATACGCACACCACTGTGGGCATTACTTTTATCAACGGCCATGAACTTTTCTTGGCTAACTCTCAGAGCTTTTAAAATGTTTTGAACTAAATACTTTTATTCTGATTTTAAGTGGTTCAGGTAACTTATTCCAAATCAGCTTTTTTGCATCCAGGACAGCACGTGACCTTTAAAATAGTTGCTGTATATATTCTGTTTCTCCCCCCACCTCTTTTCTTTACAGTAGAAATATTTTTAAAAAAAGAATATATTATTTTAAATAGCCATTTTACTGCTTTGAGGTTCCTCCATTAACTTAGCTTTGGAATCACTCCATCTCTTGGGGTATCAGTCTCTCACATTCTTTTACTATCAGTGTAGTACAAAGGAAGGGGCCACATCCAAATGTGACTTCCAAGGTTCCACTTGAAAATACCTTTTTAAAAAATTCACTTTCCTACCAGAATGTTAACTAACACCTGAACTGTACCAGAACAGTAGGTGCTTTAAATGGCATCTTAAAGACACATAATGGCATCTTAAAGTAAATTTAGTGATGCAGATTTTCAAACCATCCTCTTTTTGGCAGGTATAAGATGCATATGTGATTGTATGATCATACGATTGTGAATACCAATGATGGAAACAGCCTATCAAATGTAAATTTGATCTTGCTTTTATTGCTGTTGAATATTCACTAGCTGCACATACACACACAAGCGATAGCAAATGCACACTACGCATCTAAAAAGCTCTCTATGGTAAAATATTGTTCTAATTTCTTTTAAAGATATTATAAATTTTATACATAGTATTAGATGTATCTTTTCAGTCTGCTCCCTGCTTTTATAACTGTCCGTGAACAAAAAGGCCAGTTAAATGTCTTTCGTAAGTAGATAAGATTTTACTTCATTTTTAATATTTGTAGATTGTACAACCATTTGCTGTTAAAGGAAGTAAATGATAAATCAAAATCTTAATTCCAGTCGTCAGTTTTCTTTCTCCCACTGCTGGAATTATTTTCATTGGATGCTTTCATTTTGAAGGTTTCCAATTTTTTGGCAGTTAGGGGACTGTCAATTACCTTCAATCTTCAACTGTATCACAGCATAGTGAGGAAAATGTCTTTCCAAAGCAAAAAGGAGTAGGAAGAGAAAGTAAAGGAGAGAGGGGAATTTTCTGGAATCTCACTGTATTTGGACCAAACCCATTTTGGGGTGGCTTTATATATTTATTTTAAAAAGTAACAGTAGTCTAATACAGAACATCTTACAACTCACTCAACTTATTACTACAAAGCTGGAAACTGAAAAATTGAATCATCAATTGTACGAGTTATTTTGGTGAAACAGCAGCTGATTCAAACGGACACATACCATTTAAATCTCCCATCTAATCGAGATAACTTACACTAGACTTCAGAGAGTTAATGGAACTATTTGGCAGAGATATGGTTCTAAAATAGACATCTACTTCAAACTGGGGTCAGCATCTGCCAAGCCAATTATCTCCAAATATACCCCAAAATACTGGCTTCATCCTGCATTACAGTAAGTAAACAAATAACTAGGCAAAGATAAGTTTACAGAAAATGCAATAGAACATAAAGATTCTTCATCACCTACAAATGCAAATTTAAAGTGAAAAGAGGCAGTGCCTTAATGAAAAAGTCACAGAACAGTAAAATTGCCACAAAAATGAAACACAAAAGTCCTTCCTCACTACTGTTTCTCACTACAATTACAACATTCTGGTAGAGAACTGATATAAAGCAGTTATTTCAAACAACTTATGAACTCCATCATACCTTGTAGAGAAACATTTGGAGTAGTTTCTGCAATCAGACTCTTAAAACGGGATGAAAAGTAAATCCAGTTCCTGGCCCTAGCATAAACACATTGATAATAAAAAGCCTAGGATTGAGTTTAACAGAACAGTTACATATTGTTCAGAAGAGTCCACCCTGTGTATTTTAAGGGCAGTTCTTAACTTCTAAGAAAATACGTGGATTACAATAATGGGACAATGATCAATGTTTGTGCCTTGTTAGGCCAAATTAGCAATAAAATACTTAGTATTGCCTTTATGTCTGTCCTGCTAATCTGAACTATAACCAGCAATACTGATGCAATCGTTTCAATATGGTTATTAACTGTCCATGTGGGATGGAAAAAGAATTTAAGTCCACATTCTTTGAACTTTTTACTGGCATTTCAAAATCAGGATCTACAGCAAGTAATGAGTAATAGATTATTACACTAAGACACAGTGGGTTTTTTGGGGGTGGGTTTTTTGTGTTTCTTTTGGTCTTTTGTTGTTGTTTGTTTGTTTTCATTTTGTTTTTAAAACCGAACTACATGACTTGTGATAGCCAAATATGAAGGCCTTTTATTAATAAACAACCTTTTGTCTTTAGGCCACATCAAATACATCTTCACACATTTTGGGACTAATGCTGACCCAGCTTACACAACTGTAAACTAGGAAGGTGTTCACCAAAGAAAAGTTGGAACCAGGCTTATAGAGTTCCACTCTTGCTTTATTAGAAGCCTACTTATACTAGCGACTGATTTTGGAATTAAGACATAGTAGCTAGTTGCAAAAAAACAGATCCTCCCTCCTCCCCAATACACCTACACTAACCACAATTCTGAAATAATATTTAAGAAAAAGAATAACATAAGAAACCCTCAGCATCCCATTTGAGTCATGGAATGGAGCCCGGGGCTACTCTCAGGGAAGGCAAGTAAAACCACAAGATTTGTTATGTATTCAGGTAAAACAGGGGCTTCGGAAGCCACTAGAAAAATCAAGTTAGCAACAGGGTTGTTTTTTCTTTTTTTAGTTAAATAGGTCTAATTTGTATGAGATCTCTAAAAATAATGAGTTAGGAAACAAATTAACCAAAAGTAGCAGGCAAATTTCCTGAAAAGAAATAGCCAGAAAACTAGTCCTTACATGTCTGGTTCTTGTTTCCATAACACTGATTCATTTGCTGGCACATTCTAATATAACAGACTCTACAGCAGCATCAACACAGGTTTCTCTTGCACTATAAAATGGAACTCCTAACAAAACAGCTAAAATAAACAAATAATGCTAAATAACAATTTGGTTTGAGATGACATTCCACAATAAACAGGATTTAAATGTTAGGTTCCAAACGATCCATAGTTTTTGCAAAGTGTGGTCATATTATCCATTCTTGCCCTATGCATAATTAAAACTGAAAAAAAAAATTCAAGTTATGTCATTTTCCATGAAAAAAAAATGCTGCAGTTACACGATACACACCCAAGATCCTGTTTAAACTATAGCTGAAGCTGTGTAAAGCAACAAAAGTCAACATAAGTGATGACAGCATGGCATCACCAAGGAAGGTGAGAAATGAATTCTTCCTAGGAATTATGTCAAGATTGTAGCATTTATTTACCACCACACCAGACTTTACACTTTTCAAAGCGCTAACGTAACCCTAAAGAGGGAGAAATTCTTGTGTAGAACACTTAGGGAAAACGATGCCAATGTAACACAAATCTGAACAGAACAAACAGGGCTTGACTTTGAATGTGTTCAGGCTGGGCAGGGGCATAGTTTGAATTCCGGGCACAATCCCTAACTAACAGGCTATGCTTCTGTGAAACTATAAAAAACTCTGAGAAAATCCACTGCCTGGGTAAACCTTCTCTGGTCTTACTTAGATAACTGAAGTATCAAGGACCATGACTTGCTGATGGCGAGGAAGCCTCGTCTCTCATCATACCATAACACCATGATATTTAAAAAGTCGTATTTATGTGAAAAGAAACATATTTCAGTGCTAATGTTTTATTTATTAGACAACACTTTTTCCACCTGCTGAAAGTTTCCCAATACAATGAGTCAATAGGCAACATTTGTAAATTGCTTGTATTCACTTACAGGAATCTATGCAGACCTCTAGAGAAAAAAACCCATCAGCGGAAATCATCATGTAAAAGGGATGCTTGGAAAACAGTACTTTGTTCCAGAAAGATCTTACTGACACAATTCTGGCTTAGAAAAGGGGCAATGCAGAGTCTAATCAGGTTTAAAACCTACTTGTATTAGAAAATTTCAGCAAATTGAATAAATGGCAGCAGGTAAACAGTGGTTTTCTTAAAAGTCAAACCAGAGAAAGTGTTAAAGAACTT